AGGGCTCCCTTGGGGCTCGGCCCCCCTAGACTCCGCTTCGGGGGGGTCCCCACGCCAGGCCAGGGGCGGGATGGGCGGAGGCGAGCCCGTCACTCACCGCACATGGTCGCAGCGCAGCGTAACCCTGGTCCCGAGGAGGCGAGTCCGGCTGGAGCCGCGGCCCCGGCTCTTATAGCGCCGCCGGGCCGGCTCCCGCCCCGCTCATTGGCTGGGGGCAGGGCGGGGGGCCGGTCCCGGGGCCAGCGCGGCCCGCACCCCCCCCCCCGCGGGCTGGGAGGGGGGGGGTCAGTGTCCGGGGCACGGCGGAGCTTGCCCTGCGAGGGGGCACTCCCCGCTTTGAGAGATGGGCACGTTGCATGAGACCTACGTGCACAGACAGACCCACACCCCCAGAGAGAGAGAGTGTGTGTGTGTGTGTGTGATATTAAACTGGGCACATTGTAGTAAGGGCACGTGGCTCTTTCCAGAACAGCCAGCTAGAAGAGAGCTTCCCAAGGGCAGCAAAATAGTTATTTTAATAATTCATTCAATGAGTGGTCCCCTGCAGATCACTTCGCAGGAAAGAAATTATGAACCACGGCTCTGACTCTCGGTTATTTTCCTTATCTTAACCAGTACTGTATTGTACTCTCTTTGGGGGGATTTGTGAACCACCAGAAAAAGACAGGTTTCAGAGTAGCAGCCGTGTTCGTCTGTATCTGCAAAAAGAACAGGCGTACTTGTGGCATCTTAGAGACTAACAAATTTATTTGAGCCTTAGCTTTTGTGGGCTACAGCATCCGAAGAAGTGGGCTGTAGCCCACGAAAGCTAAAGCTCAAATAAATTTGCTAGTCTCTAAGGTGCCACAAGTACTCCTGTTCTTTTTGCAGAAAAAGAAAGAGGTCCAGAGACCTGCCTCTGAGAGCCACTGCCCTAAAATGACGGTGGTTGTTTTTGTGGCAGATCATGTCCTTAGCCAGTACGTCATTCATAGTACAAATCTGGAGTAGCTTGACTGGCATTGGGATAGGCACACCAGCATTAACTGGCTTTTACGAAACTTTTGATCTCTTATCTTAAGAAGCCTTGTCAATAGGAGGAGAACAGAACGGTGACTGCTCAGTTTTGCAGTGAGTGCCCTGCTTTATATAATTGTACTGAGGTATTTTCAGAATGATTATACGATTGCTGTGTCCCTTGGACATCACAAAAATCTCTCATAAGGATATTCAAGTGAGCAAAATTCTTAATACAGAGTAAGAAGATCACACTCTGTCAGTCAACATATATTTCTGCTGTCTAGCAGAATACAAACAGGAACACAAGTGAACTTTTTTATTAACCCCCTCCCCCAACATTTTCTATAGTAAAAGTCCAAAACACAACTACTTACCGGACCTAAAATTTAGGATCAGGAATATTTTAGAAAATTTTGGTAAGGATTAGGCATCTCTTTTATTATACTCTAGTTCAGCGTTAAGTATTAATTTTCCAGTGCTTATTTTTGTAAAGCATGATTGCACTTTTTAAATTTTAAGTTTAGGTACTAGGAATAAGTGCCTCAAAGGCTCTCAATTTCAACTCCAGTGCGGATGGTGATGTTGATTTTTTTTTTAAGTTGGAAATTGTTATTTCCAGAGTTTAAAAATGTCAAACACTCAAAGCAGCTTTGCAAAGTCTCACTAAAGGGGGACACTGACAGTTTGAGGACAAAATTTAGGCTTTGAAAATGATTTTAAAGTCATGAAATAAAAAGAAAAACAGTTTATGGAGCATATAGCTGATCCATGAGAATCAGGAAGTAAAACAGTCTATCTTCATTGTCCATGCTCAGAGAAATGCAATAAGTAAATAGGTGACACTTGGGGAAAATAAAGAGATGTTCTTTTTCTGAGGCAGAATGGTCCATTGGGTTTAAATCCAAACTGTCACTGAGCTACTTCATGACCTGGGCAACTTCACCTCTCTGTGCCTATCTTCCCCTCCCACACTGCCCAAGGGGGCCCTGATCGCAGTTGGAGTCATTAGGCCATATTGTAATGTAAATAGTGATAATGTTGATGGTAGATCTTTTCCATCTCTGAGTACCATGAACAGGCAACGTAAGTTTGTCAAAAAAGTCTGGTTGTGCCAAACTAACTGATTTCAATAGGTGACAAGCTTAGAGGATAAGAAAAGTGGGCTGAACAAAGTATTTCACTTTAGCATGGTAGTCAATATGACGCCATATGACATTCCCAAGAGGAAATTAGAGAAATGAAAATGAGCTGGAACTGTTATAAACTAGATGCACTGGGGCTTTAAAAAAAAAATGGAGGTAGAGTAATTAATGGTTAAGCATTATGTTGGGAAGAGGTGTTGAGTGAGATGCGGTCAGTCTGCCCTGTGTCTAATACCATTTGGAAATTTCATTACTAACTTGGAAGACTGTATAGAGACTGCACTAGTTGTACCTACAGTTGGGCCGGCTTGGCTTGGCTATACAGATTTTAAGGAGGTCAGACTAGATGATTATAATGGTCCCTTCTGGCCTTAAAATCTATGAATGGTCCAAACCTGAGCTAGATGACAACTAGTTTAATGTACCTTGAACTCAACAAGCCAGGTATAGCAATTCAGGGTGCTGTTCTGGATATCACCTTTTAAAAAAAGAAAAGTTTGGAGAATTTCAGAGTACTGTACAGAACAAAAGTGCTAAGGGGGTTGTGTAGAGCCCCCATGCTGACAAGGAAGGTGCCAGAGAGGCACTGTGTGTGGGGCTAGACCCAACCCTGCTGGCCCTGTTAATCATGTATGGTAGGGAGGAGGCCTTTGAAAAGTAGGAAACTGCAGTCAGGGGAGAGATCACCCCAAGCAGGAAACTGCTGAAGCAATTGCTGATGCCACAGGGAGAAAGGCCCATCAGATCTCCACCCAGACCATTCGGGGAGTGCAGTGAACGCCCAGGGTAAGCCTGACAGAGTGAGTGTGATTCAGAGCCCAGCCAGAGAGACATCTCAAAAACCACTGCACAGATGCTGTACTGTTGGTCTTTATCCCCTTTGAGGGACCCCAGCAAGAAGTTATTCTTGGGTGTGCTGGGGCATTTATCTTTCCTTTTGATCCCCCAGCAGAAGGGACTTAAGAAGACCTGCAAAGGACAAGGCCCCTTTGCAAGAAGTAAAACTGAGGCCTGTCCATGAACCACCCAGAGCAAACAACTTGGTGTGGCCAGGGTCTCCCACCATCTGGAAGAAAAACCTAAGGAGGCTCTTGTGTCAGTTTAGGCTTATGAGGCATTTTTACTCTAAAAGGAAAAGAAAAGACAACCGAGAAGAGACCCAGGGCCAAATTCAGACCAGAGTTAAATGAGTTCAATGCCACCAGGTCTAAAGTAGACACAATAGTGAATAGGTTTGGACAGAATAACTGTTGCCAACCATCAAACTGAAACCAAATTTGAACTAGAACTCTGAGGGTCAAGAAAGTTTGCTTATTTCATTGCTTCAGGTCCTTATACTCCCTGGTTCAAGCTGTGACCAGAAGTGCCTGGATACTATGAAAAAAAGCTGTTCTTGGAGTATTTATGGTCTGACCAGGAAAGCAGCAGAAGCATTTTGAGAAAACCAAGATTTCTGACTCCATTTTTCAGATTGAAGAGATTCAGATATTGACCCACATACTTGGTTATGATACAGTTCAAACTCCAAAGGAGACTTGTATTTAGGGTGACTAGATAGCAAGTAGGGAGAGAGGGGGTAAAATAGGCACCTATATCAGACAAAGCCACAAATATTGGGACTGTCCCTATAAAATTGGGACATTCAGTCATCCTACTTGTATGTCTCTATGAACAACTGTCTATAAATACAAAAAAGGATGATCTAGAGAAGACAGGGACAAAACATTCCCCTTAGTTAACATGGGCAGAGCAAGTACTAATGGGTGTAAACTACAGAAGGGAAAATTTAGGCTAAATATTAGGAAACATTTAAGAGGAGCGGTTAGGTAATAGAACAAACTGCTAAGGGTGGTTTTATAGTCACTGTCACGGGTGATACTCAAGGCTAGACTTGACACACTTATCTGGGATCACTTAGGGATAATGAAAGTGCTCTTTCTCTGATACAAGGGTGGATTAGATTACTAAACAGGGGTCCCTTCCAACTCAAATACTCCTGTGATTTTAGCTGGGTTATGAAGTAATAAAACTCTGTTAATTACAGATTTTAGACTGTTAGTCATTTATCCCCATAAATTATTTACACATTTCCAAGAATTCACATTCTGTAACCAGATTTGTCCTCATATGTGGCATACATTTCTGTATTTCCTGATTTAATAACAATTCAGCTAAATATCACTGCCAGATTTAAAGGGCATGAAGCATCCTCAATCATCATGCTCCACTCCCCTTGGCTTTAGTGGGATCTCTGCCACTATAGAACAATATACATGAAGAAAGGAAGGACAGATTGGAGAAGAGGGTAGAAATAGTGGGGAAATCAGGAGGAACGCAAAGAAAGCATCTTTTACCTCAAAATGCAAACATTGAGAGACCAAAATGGCCATCATAGATTTATGTACCATATTATTTAGCCTGGGCTTGACTCATAGTAGCCTGCCTCTCTCCCCTATTCTTCAACTCATTCCTCCCATCAAAAGCCTAAGGGTGTTAATTCTTTCTAATATATATGAATATTGTTAGAGCCCATATGTAGGCAGTCTGACCTTACAGTTAGAGCCCAAAGTAGCACTGGGATCAGCATAGCCAGAGTCAGAAGCCAACCCAAGAGTCAAATCAGACTCAGAGTCACACCAAGGGTCAAGCTGGAGTCAATAACCAGAACTAGAGCAAGGCAGTAGGCACCTGATCTCCAAGATCTGGTCAGTAGTGAGTCTAAACAACTAATGAATTTCTAACCAAGGGGCACAGGGGGAACAGGAAGCTTTATGCTAAGAGGTGACCAATCAGCAGTCTCCTGCTAGTCAGCTGACCCTGCTAAGTCAAACAGGGTGTAGCCCTGTTTGCTGGCTATCAGCTGTAGTTTCCCTGTATGGCCTTGCAGCATGGGAACGCAGCAGGAGAGGCTCTCACTTTGTGGGTTTGGCTTTGAGACCAGTGGCACTGACAAATATTTACAAATGAATGTGGGTGCTCAGCTCATCTGAGGAAAAACCAACCCTCAGGTATCTCCTGCTTAAGCCTTCAGAAACAGATGCACCCAAAATCAAAGGTTACACTTTTGAGCTAGTTGGCCAAAGGGTCTGATTCCAATTTCACTTACAGCAGGTATAAATCA